GAAAAGAAAGCTTGAAATGTCGTATCTAGGAAACTTGTTGTATTTCCTAGGCATGGAATTTCAAATTACCAAGCTAGGTATGGTGTTGCATCAAAGCAAATATGTTAAATAAATACTTAAGAGATTTAGGATGGATGATTTGAATCTTACATCTTCACCTGTCGAACCAAACATTAAACTAGAGAAGCATGGAGAGAAGGACAAGGTCAATGTCACTTTGTTCAAACAAATTGAAGGACCTCTGAGGTATATGTGTAATAGCATACCCGATATAGGTTTCTCATTCGGATTGGGAAGCAGATACATAGATAAACCAAATGTGTCACACATGAAGGCTGCAAGAAGAATTTTGAGATACATAAAAGAACCAATAAATTATGGAATTTTTTTTCATGAGATTCTGAAAGCAAAGAAGTTGTGATTAATTGCTATTCAGATTCTGATTGGTGTGGAGATAAGGAAGATGGAAGAAGCACAACTGGTTATTTCTTTCACGTATTTGGTGCCCTCGTCTCATGGTTCTCAAGAAAGCAACATGTGGTGGCCTTATCGTCGTGTGAGGATGAGTATATAGCAGGATCTTATACATTGTGTGAGATGTTCGTCCTTACAGGAGCCTACACCATTCTCCAATGGTTTCCCATTGAAAATGTTTCATCCACTATGTTTTGACAAATATTACACGAGTTCATACAATCATTAATCCAAAATAATGATGATAAAAGTAAATATCCTATTTGGATCTTGACTTGTATACAACTTTGACGCCAAACTCTCTGCGAAATATTTACTCGATTCTCACTTCTTGAATCTTCCAACTTCACCAATCTACTCTAAATCTTAGTGTGTGGCAATCACCTTTGATCCCACCAATTTTTTGAGCGATGAACAGTTCGAAGATTGAGAAAACCTCATACTTTGTCTATAGGTTTCCATACAACACTACCAAGGTTAACCTGGAGAGAAAAACCTCTTTCTTTTCACTGGAATTTGTCTCAACTAGTCACAACAACCACAATCTTGCAAGTTTCCTGAAAATCTTTACCAAACATTCAAGAAATGTTAGTTTCAAGACACGTCTCCCTCAAAAATTACAAATATCCATGATCAAGATATTAAATCAAACTAGAGGTTGAAGATGAAAGAAAATTCGATTTGCAAGAGATTTTGAGTTTTCAAAATTCGGAGGTTGTTGATTTCAGAAAATCACAATGTTTTTTTTATGAGATTGCTTAATGAAAATGAGATGACAAAAGGAATTTATATATGCTGGAGATTATGCACAAAAATAGGTGAAAAATAATTGTTAGATTCGAGTCAAGAGCACTTGTTGATTTGAGTCAAATGACCTAGTAAAGTAGAACAAGATCAACATAAAGAAAACTAGCCCATTTTCCGTGATTTGAGTCATGTTGTAGCTCTGATCCGAGTTAGAAAGGCTCATGATTCAATTCATGTATAAATCTTGATTCAAATTAAATTGATCATAACCAAATATGAAAAAGTGAAAAACTTTGTGATTCGAGTCATGTAGAAAGTGTTATGAAGGCTCATGATTCAATTCATGTATGAAGCTTGATCCAAATCAAATTGATCATAACCAAACATGAAAAAGTGAAAAACTTTGTGATTCGAGTCATGTAGAAAGTGTGATTCGAATTAAATAAGAAAGTGGCTAATATGAGATGTGTGATTTGAATCATGTGTAACTTGTGATTCGAATCACAATGTTGCATGATTCGAATCATGTGTAAATTGTGATTCGAGTCGTAAATACCAAAATCATCATATTTTCCTATGTTTGATTTGATTCGAGTCATGGATTGTGAGTGACTCGACTCATACACAACAAATCTCAATTTTTCAAGTTTTTCAAAATAGTTTGAGATTTCACTTCCCACATAACTTGAACCAACCTAAAATATGTTTCTTGCTCCATTAACTCAAATACAAACAATCCAATTGTGCATGCTAAAACAAATGAATCAAAAAATTAATCCAAAGATGTGCAATTATGAAGGAGTCTTAATAAACAATAATAAACGAAATAAAAGTATAAGAGACATGCAACTCCAACCTCCCCCCTTTTTATGCTTAACAATCTTTCACTTGGACTTGAATCGACTTTGAGCCAAAGCAAATAAATGCTTGTGCTTCCCCTGAAACATTGCACACACACACACAACAACAACAACAACATAAGACGCATAACACAATTCTAGACTTACATTACAACTTATCCCCCTTTGACAAGATCAAAGAGAGATATATGGGAATCAGTTTAAAACACCTAAAAATCAGCAGCAATGAAGGATAAAATGAGTGAATTTCAACTTAAAATCGTAGCTTCATTAGCCCCCTTTGATGTGATAAAACACAATAATTATGATTTGGAGTCGAAAAGTTGATTAAGAATGAATTTTTTAAGGGTTTTAGTTTATGGAGGTGGTATGAATTGGGATGAGATAATCATGCAAGGTGGTGATATATTCAATTTTCCGCTTGACATTTTTGGATATGCGTCTCTGAAAATGTTATTGAATGGTTAAATAAACCAGCTTAATGAAAAACGCATAGCAAACGGGTTCAGGGGTGTTTTCGAAGATGCATCTCCGAATTCACCCAAAAATTTACGGAATGTAACTCTGGACTATTTTTTTGGCAAGAAGGGAATGGTTGTCTGATTTACAAAGAATGTAGATATTTAAGATGCGTCTGAAGATGCACCTCCAAACGCACTTGAGAGTAATTTCAAATTTTTAATGGTGTGAACTACACCCTAAGGGTGGGAAAAGATATTCCAAAAAAAATATAATGTTACGTTATCAAAATTGGTGTTTGTTCTATTTTTTTTCTTTACAAATGGACTATTTTTAGGCTTACTCCAAATCATATTTATACTACCCTTAAACTTAGGGCGTTGTTTTTCCCACCTTAAATGGTGGAGAAACATCCTATGAAAATCTAAAAATGCCCATGAGAATCCGAAAGCGCATTTTGGAACGCATCATTTTCACACCAAAACACGTCCTAACTGAAACTCATCCCCTTTTTATCTCAAAATTTAGTTCAAAAATGTATCTCCGACTCCATCCTGTCAAGAATTTTCCAATTTAACTACTAGGCAAAAAAATTGGATGTATACTTCCGAATTTGTGAAGCGGGAATTTGAAAAGATACCACTTTTGCATGTTAGTCACAATTCCGAAAGTGCACTTTCGAAAATATCAAGAGGGAAATGTTATAAAACAACACCATGCATGTGATTCTTCCTCATGATCAAATACTTTTTTCTCTCAAAACCCTTAAAAAACATTCTTTCATACTTAATCAAGTTTTGTACTCTAAAATTTCATTCTTGTGTTTCGTCACATCAAAAAGGAGCAAAAGAATATGGAATTTAAAGTAATGTTCATGTATTTCATTCCCTCATTGTTCACATTAATCTGATTTTTGAGCTGAAAAAATGAATGTTGCGTCCTGAAATACATTTCTGGATTCTAGGTGAAAAAATACATATGTATATTTCCAGAATAGTTCGGAATATATTTTGAACAATTTTTTGAATATTTTATGTTATTATTTGTTTTAGATATGGTGCACTTTAATATTATCCCTAAACTTATTAAGTATAAGGATGTCAAACATGATAATGTCAAGGTACATGCTAGGCAACCAATTTACAAATAGACAAGAGTTTGATGATTGTGATCATATTCTCCAATGGATCCGCACTCAGGCATTAAAAGAGGTTTGGTGTTGTAATCGAAATGTCAGAAAATGATTCAAATAGAAGACTTGCATTTGTGACACTAAGATGCGAAAGAAGTGACAAGTACACAACTCATTTCCAAAAGTTGAAACGAAATGACACTAGTTTGTGGAAATGCGATTGCCCTTTTAAGTTGTGTTGATATCTTTCGGCAAATAATAAATGGGGATTTAATGTGATTTGTGGTACACATAATCATTACATATGTCACAAATTAACCAATTATCTCATTGCATGCCGCCTTATGTCCGAAGAGAAGGAAATCGTTTTTGACATGACATTGAACATGGTGCATCCTAAAAACATACTTGCAACTTTGAAACGTAAAAGACCCTGAAATATCTCAAATATCAAGCAAATATACAATGTTCGTGTCCGAAACAACAAGGCGATAAGAAGGGATAGAACTTAAATGCAACAAATTTTGAAATTTGTGGATGATAATCATTATGTATTTAAGTACCGAATATGCGATGATGTATAAATCGTTCGATATATCAAATAAAAGAGCATATTTGATTGTTGATCTTTATGATTAATTAGATGTTAAGAGTATAAACTTGGAAATCAAATGAGAGAGTTTGAGAATGTTTGAGAGAGTTTGAGGTTTTGGATGGGTTAAGAGTTTGAGAGAGTGAAAGTAAAATGAAGGAGTAGAGTGTGGCGCATATTTGATTAAAAATGTGCCTGAAAGTGCATCTTCATATTACATCTTAAGTTATACGGAGATGCATTTTCGTAGTAATTTTTGACATAATATTAAAGTTCGACACAAAAACGAATGAATTGTGTATAAATGAAGTATGTCCGAAAATACATATCTGTATTCTAGAGGTAGTTTGGTTCTTTACTAGCAAATCTTAGAGTGGAATGAACGATTTCCTAATTTATTCAATTGAATGGTCAAAACATAAGTTTTCGTTCTATACCAGGCCAACCACGTTTCAAGTGTCTAACAAATCCTAGCACAATCTGATAGATATATTTCTACCACAATCTACATGCAGTTACTACTAAGTGATGGATGGTCATTCATGGCATATAACAAACTTATATGGCATTTTTTCAATCCACCATCTAATCTCATATTTGTCAATATATTATACAAAAAGTTTTAGAAAATCTTTTTTGTAACATGAAACATTAATTATAAGATTATAAAGTTAAATTCCTACAGTTTGCCAGTTTCTCAATGAGTACCCTCTCAAACACTACAGAGAATGATGTCTCATAACTTAGGAGCAATTCTTGGGTGGTCGCGCTCTGTCACAACATGGTTACGAGTTATGTCCTTAAGTGAAGGGCAACCACAAAGTGCCATGGTTATTTCAAGTTCATCATGAAGCATCTCAAGCACCTTTCTTATACCAGCTTCACCCTCTGCAGCTAACGAGAACACCACAGGTCTTCCAATCTGGTATATTATAGAAATGTATTATAGCATCTCCATTTAATGAAAATACTAGCAAACCACATTAATAATTAGTTTTTGAGTTTTGATGATGGTAACCGAATTTGGATATACATTTCTTAGAAGTAACTGTGATACAGATACTATTTTCTACAGACCAATCTAATGATCGAGGCCGTTTAAAAATATTCTAGAAAATGAATACAATGAACTGTCTAATACTAGCAACTTCGTTCTGTTATTACTGTAAGGAATTTATATCATCGTATACTTACAAATACACCAGAGGCTCCAAGAGCCAATGCTTTAAATACATCTGTCCCTCTGCGGACTCCACCATCCATAAAAATAGGAACTCTTCCTTCTGCAGCTTGAACGACCTATACAAGGATGCAATTATTATAAGTAAGGACACAAGGCAATGAAGAAGAAACTTTGGAATAATTCAAGACATGGCAGCTTGAAATTTTAATGCATCATACCATAGTAGTTAAAATTAAACTAAGAGTGATAGAAAGCGCATTACAGACTTATATAGACCTCTTCTAAAGCCATAATAGTTGCAGGGACATAGTCAAGTTGGCGAGCACCATGGTTAGAAACAATGATTCCAGAAGCTCCAGCTTGTATGGCTAACCGTGCTACATTATTATTAGCATAGGATTATGGAATTAATTTCAAAGATCATATGGATAAGGAAGTCTTAAATAAAAATATAGGATATAACTGGTTCACTTTAGTTATAGTTATTTTGAAAGTAAACTCTAGAATGTATCTTTGATAAGCTTACCATCTTGAGCAGTAAGAACTCCCTTCACTAAAATGGGCAATGGGGTGATTGTTTGAAGCCACTTTACATCCTGTTACAAGGTTTGCCATACTAGTTATTGTTACTTCCACATTCAATGTCACATATATGTAAAAGATCATGTATCACCTTCCAGGTGAGTGATTGGTCATACAGTTCATTAACAACAGAGATGAGACCACCATTGTCTTTAGTCTGCAAGGTTATAATCAATTTCTCAAATAGTTATACCAAAAGTAACAACATTAAGATGACAGTAACAGAAGAAGAAAATTCATCTAATTTAAAATCTATGTATTGATCACACACCTTATACAACTTTTCGAGATCCATGCCTTCAAATTTCTTCATTCTCACATATGATGGCGGTTTAAAACTGTAAAAATCTCCATTAAACAAACCAAGAATATATATATTTTTAAAATCTCCAGTAGAAACCTCTAATAGTGTTTATCTTAATCTGATAACCAACTCCGCATGTTCCAAGAACCAATATATTATTACTATTTTTTGAATATAAGATTTATCAAATGAAATTTTGCAATGATTGTCAACCTATTTTTTATGTCAGCCTCTCTACGACCAATGACTGGAGAGTCTGCAGTAAGGACAATTGCCTTGAAACCAGCATTTTCTGCTCTTCTCACAAGCTGAGTAACCATACTTCGGTCTTTAAGCAGCTGGGAGAAGAAAATAACAAACAAATTAGATTATAACACTAATAATTTCAATGTTAGATAATCAATTTCCTTTTGAAATGTTCTTTGTGTTTTGAGGAGGAGACAAGTGACAGGCACACACGCATCATAGAAAATAAAATAATGAAGAGAAGAAATAAAGACAATATACCCACATAGAGTTGGAGGAAACGAATGCCAGGTCCTGTTGAAACAATCTCCTCCATGCTCGAAGTAGCCCATGAGGATAGTGTCTGTCTCAAAATTATCAAAATGAATATCCCATGTATTAAATACTCCCTCCTTGACAAAATATATATTAAAAATATCGGTACTTTGATACAAATTTGGGCCGATTATACGTTTTTTGCTAGAGTAAGAATTGATAAATTTGGCTGAAAACAAACCATGATGGTGCCAGCTGCTGATGCTGCTCTAGCAGTAGCATATTCTCCTACACACACAAAAATGCATGATTTGTTTTAACTTAGAAGTATTTATATATTTTAGGAAAACAATAAACTTCAATGTCAATGACACGAAGAATCAAGGGCAACAATGAGTACCTTAATGCAAGGGTTATATCTTAATGTAAGACAGTACAATGAGTACCTTCAGGGTGAGCCATCTTTTGCGCGGCTGTAGGAGAAATCATGATAGGCATTGATATTTTGAAGCCTAATACAGATGTTGTCAAATCTATCTTGCTTACATCGATAAGAATACGTGGCCTGAACCTGTTGTTGGTAAACATAGATATTGAAATAAGGGATTCAACAACATAACACGCAAGGCTAAAGAGAAGATGAAAATAAAATAAAACAAGTTTGTAGATTACATGATCCTTGAGAATGCATTTTGGTTCTCTTTCAAAGTCCACTGATCCTCTGCTCCTGATGCAAAGTAGTCATAAATGTCCTTTGGCAATTTTTCCTTTGCAATTGCTTCATAGTCGCTCACATTTGTTATATTCATCATCTTCTTACTAGGTAAGTTACTTTGCTATGTTATGTCCACAAGATCTTCTGAAAGTGAGATTAAAATGAATAATTAGTCAATAACATCAATCTAAACCAAATCAATTCCAGATCCAAAAATACTAGGCAACAGCTATGAATACCGACTACAGTACAACTAGAATGAAATTAACATAAATGTAAGATGATGAAGAGGAGAGAGAACCTGTAACAGCTATGAATCCCATGTGGATAGTGTTTGTCGCAAGCTTAAGAAATAAACCTACAATAATAATACAACTAACATTAAGCTAATGAAGTGAAAAAGAATGGAATACAAGTAACAAGACTTGATTATGTTATGATGAAGTAAGGAACAAAATGAGAATGAGGCAAGAATTAAACGAGATCTAAGTTATAGAATATATAAAAAATAGAAGGTGGGTGACATAAACATCATGATTTATGTTTTGATGCATTTGGGTAAAATGACTTAAACAATAAATTTGAATATGAAAAGCTACCGTTTCTAGCTAGTAGAATCAATTCAAAATTAATTATATTGTAAAAGAACCACACATGTCAAATGAATTGTATGCCACTATAATCACTTTTGTGCCTAATCAAACCTATTAAAAACAAGATGGTAATGAAGTGAGTGAAAGAGGAGCATTATAATAAAGTTGTTTGTTACCCTAATTTGTATCAGACAAGTCTATTGGATCTTATCATCAACAACATTTCCATTTTTATCTTGTTTCTTTATTCTTTCGTAGGGGTTCAAATAATTTGGTTATTTAAATTATTTATATTGATAACTAAATTCTTTTATTAAAAATCGATTAAGTATTAATATGGTTTTAACAAAATTTATATTTTAGATATTTTATTTGATTATAACCAAATCTATAATTTACACAACTATATCCAAAATAAAAATTAAATTAAATACTTTTTTTATTTTGAAATTTTTAACAAAAAAATTAATATATTTTTTTAAAAAAATTTAAAACTTGTTTAGTAAATAAAATAATTCAAAAAAATTAGTTTTTCTAAATAAAAAAAATGATGTTTTATTTTTGAACATAAATATTTTTTTTAAATAAAAAAGTTTGAAATAAAAAATTCTTTAAAAAATAATTTTAAAATAAAATTAATTCAAAATTAATTATAAAATTGGTTATGATATAACCGGTTAATAACTTATTTATAACCATTTTACAAAAATGAAAACCTCGTGAGTGAGCTCGTATACTATGTTTTCTAAGTAGATGTCGAACTAGTCAATGTAGTTGAGGCATTGAAAGATTCAAAGTGGATGGTGAATCTGGTCGAAGAAATTATAGCGAAAAAAATCGACGGCATGTCAACTATCAACCAGGCTATGATACCACTGTTCAATGCTTTCTAATGAAAATCTCTCATAACCGATAACATTTAGTTTTAATAACCGATTATAATATATAAATTATTTATGGTTATTAATTGGTTATGAAAATTAACCGTCCATAAACATCCATATTCTCTGCCAAAGGTTGCCCATTGTTAAGGGTCCTCTACTTTTTATCTCTCACTCATCACTCAACCATCCAACAACACGACAGACTTTCTTGTGTTCCTGTGTTTCTTAATCAGCACGGCAGCTAGACTCACAATCACAGGCTCAAAGCTCCACCATTATCAACTTATTCTCTCATACAATAATTTAGGGTTAAATAATTTAAAGTTCATCACATTCACAACCGGTCCACATTTGCAAATAAAAATCTCTTACTAAAGTCTCATATATTAATAGCTTTTCTTAAAAAAATTTTTTTTTTTTGATATTTGAAAAAGTTACATGACTTACGTTGTATGTTTGATATTTTTAAATATTTGGGCATTACTTTATCAATGAGGGTAAATAGGTTGAAATTTTGATTTTTTTTTTTTCATTTTAATATTTTGAAAATACATCTTTCCAACGCATTCAATACTCTCAAGAAAAATGTGCAAATGAGTCGGTCTTTTTATGTCAAAAACTAATATGAATATGTATCTCCGAAAAAACCATTTGTATGTCATTGATGGTATTGTAAGTTGATTGAGTTATTTTAATCAAATCAAAGACAATTTCGGATATGTATCTTCGGAGTCATTATTGGTATGACATTGATGATGTTTTAAGTTGATTGAGTTATGAACCCGTGATATCCCACTTGTTCACCGGTAAAGGGTGAACTCAACCACTAAACTACTTGATCAAAAAAAGTTGATCGAGTTATTTTAATCAAATCAATAACAATTTTGAAGATGCATCTCCGGGAATGTCGAGCACAAAATTTAATAAAAGACCATCCTTTCATGTTCTTCTTCTTCATGATCAAACATCACTATTTTATCAAAACCATTAAAAAAAACCTCCTTCCGTTCTTAATCAACTTTTGCACTCGAAAACAACATTTTTGTGTTTTATCACATCAAAAGAAGCAAAAGAAGTTGTAGTTTAAGGTAAAGGACATGTTTTTCCTTCCACATTGCTTGCATTAATCTGATTTTTGTTGGGTAGAAATGAACGTTGTGTTCGGAGATGCATCTCCAGATTAGGTTGCATATGTTTCAGATATGCACTTTCGGAAATATTTCTAGAGTTGAATTTGAATATTAATTTTGTTTTTCTTTTATACTTGGCTGTAGATATGTTGCACTCTAATATTTTCTCTAAAGTTATCGTGTATGTGGATGTTAAACCGAATAAAGTGAAGGATGATGTTAAACTGGGTGATGTCAAAAATGATGTTAAGATGGATGTTAAACCTGTTGTTACTGTAGTAAATATTCGTGAACAATTTACAACTAAACAGGAGTTTATTGAGCGTGAACATACAGAGGCCATCAAACTTGAGTTTATTGAGCGTGAACATACAGAGGCCATCAAACTTGGATTCAGTGTTGTAATTAGGAGGTCTGATAATGGTTCTGATAGAAAACTGAGATTTGTAACAAAGAGATGTGAAAGAAGTGGCACGTACCAACAACATATTCGGAATTTGAAACGAGATGACACCAGATCGAGTAAATGTGATTGTCCTTTTAAGATTAATGGATACCGTAAGGCGAATAGTACACGAAAATTTAATGTAGTTTCTGGTATACATAATCATCACTTGTGTCACAAGTTAGTCAATCTCGCTTTAATCTTAAGGAGAATAAACTTGTTTCTGCATGAGATTGAATATGGTGTCGCTCAAAGAGATACTTGAAACATTGAAACGGAACAGACCTAAAAATGTCTCGAATATCAAACAAATATATAATATTTGTGTCGTAAACAACAAGGCGGTAAGAGGACTAAGAACTGAAATGCAACAATTGTTGAAGCAAATTGGGTGACGGTAATTGCTTGGTAAAGGAGATGGGAATCATACATTTTTCCACCAACATACTATCAAAGAGTTGAAGGCGCATAAGAAATCATGCACTGAGCTATACGAGAAAAATATAACATATTGATAAAATTCGTGAATCTTTTATTCCTTGTGTTAGTGGTCCAACACCGGAGGTAAAATTAATGTGTTCCCTTGAAATGGGTCATCTTATTGCAAATGTGTATAACAGAGTGTGTATCGATCTTACAATATATGATTTTTCGAAACCATTTTTTCCACTTTGAAGTTAAAGGCGAAACTACCCGTAGATATGGATTTAGGTGGTGGCACATCTTTTGATGTATTTTAGTTTCTATCTTACGAAGTATTTATGTGGTGATTCAATTTTTGTATATAATGTTGGATTATTATTTTCAACGATATAATTCAGATACATTTTGATGTGTTTTAATGTATGTTAAAAAATAAGTTACATTTGTATTTTGTTTGTATTTTCTATGTAAAAAAACAACTTTTATTTGTGACATGATTGAAATCCAAATTTTAAACTCCTAACGCACTTAAAAAGGTGAATCCGATCAATTTCAACATCTGGATTACCCATGAGACAGGATTGGGGTTTTAAGGTCTATATTGATCTTAAACTTGTATAAATATGGGTGTCCCTCATATTGTTAACTAAAACAACACAGAATGTTTCAGTATTCACATCTCGCATTTGTCTACTTCAACGGCGAGAGGCTCTCTCTTGAAATTAGATTCACGGATATCACCTGTCTTATTGATCTGAAATCCACACTAGAAAATCTCTTGCAATACTCAGACAATCGAAGGGTTATGAAACTCCATTATCGTTCATCATCTATTGACAACAAAAAGAAGATACAATCTAGTAAGTTTGAGTTAAACACGGATGAAGATTTAACGATTAGGTGGAGTATATTTCACCGATACGAAACAAAGGGTTTGATTGAGGTAAATGTGACAGTTGCAAGATCGACCAACAATATTCTAAAGATGTTGAAACTTCCTCAATCATCTCTTGATGATAAAATGTAATGTTAGTTTTATGTTAAAGAAAATATATTTGATTTTACTTATTTTATGTATTTCAAATGAAAAATGTATGTTAATTTATGTTATTCTTTTCATTTATGCAATTGCTTCTGGTTTGTAGTAACAGTAAAGATTCAGAATTTTAACATCCTGACAATCCCTAAACATTATTTTAAACATTTCAAACTGTAAAATCTAGACTAACCTTTAAGTATTATGAAATTGAGTTAGAGAATAAATTTGGTTTAAATGAATTTGGAGTATAAAATTTAGATGAAAATTTCACCTTTAGTAAGGAAAAAATATGAAAGATTTTATCATTTTGAGTGCGTCCGGAGAATAAAATCTGAATTGTAGAAACATTATGAAATTTTCACACACAGAGAGTGTTGGTGCAAAGGTAGAATAAATGATGAAAAGAGAAATATTCTATTAAGAGAATGACGGCTACACACTACTACAAAATTAGAATGATTATTACCCTATTTATAAGCTAAAACTAGGGTTACTAGAATAAGATAAAAATACTAAAATACACTCTAACAAACTTAGGGGCTAAGAAAATAGTACAACTAATAAATATGAATTACTTCTAATA